GGGCAACTGAGTAGATTATGTCATCATTATCCAAGATGAGTGATATAAGAGAAGCAGCAGATTTTGCAAGGAAGATACTTGAGGTCCATCTTGGCCACCCCATTAGGTCTGAAATGCCAGGGTAACTGGAGGTGTTACGATGCAGTTAGAAATATGAACTTGGAGCCTAGAAAGGTTTAAGGTTAGTGATAGAACTTCGGCAGTCTTCGTTATATGGTCAAAGCCAGAGGAATTAATGAGATTGCCAAAAACAAGCAAAAAGATGAAGAGGCTGAGTACACCCTAGGAAACATCATCATAGCTGGTAATGAAAAATTATATGACTTGTGGAGGACAGAATATGAGGACAAGACTGGTAAAATTGTGGTTGCATTAGCAAAAGTGGGCAAGTCAAGAAGAGAAAGAAATTTGGTGTTTCGTTTTAGACAAGTTGAAGAGTGTTTTCTTTCATCATCAGTAAGCAGTAAAACATGCTTCTTTATATCTGAATTGTTTCCATTTATCAGTTATGTATTTTTTAAAGGCTATCTGACCATCACTAAAAAATGTGTATGTTGGGAAGGCCGCTGGATTGGGAGTCAGAAAGTGCTTGAGTTTGTTCTGGACCACTATTCATTCAAATATTTATTAAACATGTACTTTGCTGGATGTTGGGTTGCAGTGGTGAGGAATCCGCCCCTGTGGAGTTTACAAATAGAGAAAGTAATCAAATACACACAAATAAATATGTAAATACATGTGTACTAAATAGCAGTTGTAGGATATGTATGAATTTAAAACAGAGAGACCTCTCTTAAAATGAGGGTCAGGGAAGGCTTTTTGGAAGAAATAATAGTTGAGATCTGATAAAGGAAGTAGAAGCAAAGATGGGGGACAGTTTTCCAAGAAGAGAGGATAATATATATGAAGAGCTGACAATAGAAGGAAGCATGGCCATTTTGAATTTTGAGAGTAGGCTATATGGGTGGAATGGAGAGGATAAAGTAAAAGAGCCTTTGAATGGGTCTGGTGAGATGGGCAGAGTCTAGTCTTACTGAAGATTTCATAGTCTCTGGATACTTGTTCGGACAAGAAATGATGGGTGCTTATAGCAGAGTGGTGGTGAAGGAAAGTAGTAAACTAGTATGTAAGACATATTGAAAAATTAGATAGGGTGGGTGGGGTGAGGGAGTCAAAGATGATTCTCAGGTTTCTTTCTGGTTTGTGCAACTGGATAATGCCATTTACCAAGAGGATGATCCCTGGAAAAGCAAATAGATTTGTGGGGATAGAAGTTCATAAGCTCAGTTTAGGATATGTTGAGTTAAAGATGCATTTGAGATATCCAATGAAGATTCTAAAATAGGCATTAACACACAGATCTGAAGGAAAGGACTAAAAAAAAGGAAGCAATGCGGGAGTCATTGGAACATAAATGGCGATATAAAACACTGGTGTGTACAGGAGCATAGGGATACAGTGTATGTTGAGAAGAGGGCCTCAAATTGAACCTTTAAAAGGAAACATTTAAAGTCCAGGTAGAAAAAGATAACAGCAAATGAGAGTGAGATCATGTGACCACATAATTAGTAAGAAAAGCAGGAAAGAAGTGAGAGTTTTTCAGGATGGAGGGAAGGAGTAATCAGCAAACACTGTGCCTTTGGGCAGTGCCTATAATCTGTGTGCTTACCTGTTAAACAGGTAATGTTTGTCTGCATATCTCAGAGCATTGTTGATCACATCTGACCCTTGTTGATCTGATGAGATAAGACCTGCTAATGTTTGAGAAATGTTGAAATCCATCATTTTATTATGTAATCATTCTCAGTTCCCAGGGTTTCTTGTTTGGTTAGTTGGTTTTTAACACTGGGACCATTCACACTCTTATCTTACTCTTCCAGGCCTCTTTAGAACAATGAAAGAGGCAAAAAGATATGAATTTGAACATGGACATGTTCCTAGTTCTTTTGCACAGTTGCATGGGAAGCAATTATACTCAGGATCTGGAGCATCTCTCCTACTTACTTTTCTCTCCTGCATTTCCCCTAGGAACCTGGAAATCCCCAGAAGCTATTTTGGGACCTGTGGGTTTAGGCTTGAGCACCTCTATTCTGTAAATAAAGCTACTGGGTAATCAGTTCTCTGTGATTAAAGTGCTGGCTAAGGGTGGAAAAACTTTTGGTATTCAGAGGATGCTGTATCGGTACACTCTTCCTTCATCTTAAGTGTTAATTAGTGACACATCACAAACTGTCCCCACTTTGACTTCTGGAGTGGTCATTACTTAATCTTTTCAAAGAGGGAAGGCCAGATGATAGGGGCCCCATCCTACAGATCTTAGTCATCCAGTTAGCTACTATAGTGATTGTCCTTTACCTTCACTGCTGAAAAGTAGAGCTAACTAGCACCAAAACCTCACTCTTCCTGTAGGTCACTGTGGCAATAGTCTCAACCACAACAGACTACTATGTACAAATGATTCATTTCCAGACTTCTGCTTTCCTTTAAAGAGTCAGCTGTCATGTGCTGCCTATGACTCATTCATGCTCCTTTGCCCCAGGGAAATAAGCACTCTCAAGATTTCTGAGTTCCAGCCTCCTCCGAAGCCAAGATAGTCATGTTGTTTTTATGATGGTGCAGCACAGAAGCATTCTCACTAATTCCCACTTGCTCTGCTGCCAGCTAAAGGACCATTGTTTCTGAGCCTAAGAGCTGAGACGGAAGGGAATTTGTGTTGCTTAGATTACGCAGGACAAAAACTAAGCCAGTCGTAGCATGTAAACTATTAAAGAGCTAGTAAGTATTTCCACAGTGATTCAGAGCGTGAGAGATGGCCATGTATATATATATATATATATATAAAAAAAAGTGCTGGTTAAGGGTGGAAAAACTTTTGGTATTCAGAGGATGCCAAAAATATATATATATATATATATATATATATATATACACACACACACACACACACACACACACGCACATATACATACACACCTGATATTTTAATTCCATATTTTGCTTATCAGGGAGTGCAGAGACTTTTGGAAAATTCAGAAGGTGACCTTTATAAACTGTCTTAGCCTAATGAAGCTCTACAAAGGGCACTGATCTTATGTTCATTTTTCCCCCTTCTTGTTTTTAAAAATTGACATTTTCTAAACTCTAGTTTTTTACTTAGCAAACTAAGAAATTTATTAGTTTTAAACAAGGATTTAATTTTGAGGAGGAAGTTTTGGTAGTCACACTTTCTTAATCTCATTTCCTGAGCACTGTCTCACCAATGTCCTTTGTATTCCAGAATCGGGTCAGCTGTCATGCATTTTTGCCAAATGTTCATACTGTTGAGGCCAGAGACAGATGAATCACTTATTGCTGAACTAAATTAAGCTAAAATGTGCCATTGGCGGCATCTCTATTACAGAATTATTCCCTGCTACTACTTGTGTCCGTATGTTTTGGATGCTTGGATACATTATATTCATAAATCAAATGAACAAGGGCAAAAAAATGTTTTAAGTGTGTGTAGGAGCTAAGAAACCTTATGTTCTTTTTTTTCCTAATATAAATTAAATTATGTAACTAAATATGAAACCTAACCTATATAGTGATTTTTTTGATATTATCAACCTTGACTTAATTAGCAACCATTCTATGGACAAATCATATTTTATTAGGGTAGTCTCATATTATAAATCAAGTCAAGTTAGGTTTACAGGATATTTATTTTAAATAAGGAATATAATAACCTGGATAATGTAAACATTTAATTTTGTGGTTAAAACCTATTTACTGAAGATCAGTTTCATTAAAAATCCATACTGGTAGCCTTTAATCAATAACAAACTAAAACCAAGCTTTTTCTATGATGAATAGCAATTTCAGTAAGATAGAAGGGATATAACTTTTTGTGACTCTCCCAGTTTATTTCCAGTGATTTAAGGAAATATCACAATGTTCTTAAAGCAAAGCTCAGGGAAATTTTTTAAAAATTTTGTGCATTAATTTCATTAGTAACAGAATAGTATTCTGAAGTCAAAAGTTTATCATTAATAGCAGCTGATCAAATTCACAAACTTATTGAGCATCTATTTTATTAAAGACATTGGAATAAAACTCAGAGGATACAAAAAAAGTAGCATCCCTCCCCACACACACTCAGAGCGATTTTAATGTAATAGGCAGTTACACAGTGAACAAAGTTTAATAACAATTTAAAACCAGTAATGATTAAACTAAAGAAGGTGTCATGGTATATAGCATATGCTTAATTACCAAGTGAATGATACACTGTAGGCATTCAAAAAAGGCAAAGAACATTTGCAGATGTAATCAGAAAGGAATTTACTGAATAGGTGGGATTTGAGCCAAGCCAACTATTAATAATTTTACCAATTGTGAGGTATATATAGAAACAAAGCATGTTTGGTGTTGGAGTTGACATCTCTGCAGGGCGGCTTCCATCTAATTATCTGCCTACGTCTACATATTGATTCATATGTTTTCCAATTTACAGAGTTTAATGAAGGCCCATTTGTCTAAATATGATGGCAATTACAGTGTTGGCATCCCCTTTTGTAGAGTTGATTGGGCTGAACAGTAAAAAATAATTATATAAAGTGTCTCAAAGTAAAAGATCATCTATACTCTGAAGATAGACATTTGTTAATGTTCAAGAGAAAAACATTTTCAAACTCAAATTGATAAAGGTAATGAGAACTTATTAAAAAAAATATAGTCTTGAACTTCCAGGTGACTAAAGGTCCTGTTAAAATACAGATTCTGAATCTGTGAGTCTGGAATAGGACCTGAGAATCTGTGTGTCTATCAGGCTCCCAAAAGAAGTAGATGATGCTGGTCTCTGCACTATGAGCAGCAAGATTATATAGAGAGAATAACACCATGGTTCAGGGAGAGGTGTGTCTTAAATAGTACTACCCCATTTAAGAAAAATAGCAATATTGTTAGAGTTTTGTGAGAATAAAGGACAAAAGCCATATAAAATACTCTATCTTTGCCTTTAGCACGAAAGCAAGAAATTATCAAAGTCACTGAACAACTGATCGAAGCCATCAACAATGGAGACTTTGAAGCTTACACGTGAGTAGAAGCACATTTATTTTGCTTTCATGCATATGACAAAGTATTTTCTATGTGAATGCATTCTTCAGTGTACCAGAATTCATGTATATTTAACCCCAGGTTTGATATCAACAGTAGCATTATTTCAAGGTATAAATTAAGTGTCCCCAGGAGAGAAATAAATTTAGGATTTAGAGAGGTAAGACAAGACTTGTGATGGGAGGACTGGGGCTTTATCTGTCAGTGCACAGACACAATCACCAGCCCCTCCATATGGGGAAGGCATTCCAGGCAGAGCATCCATGAGAGCAAAACCATGAGAGCAAACACAAAAAAGGGCATTTTGGTTTAAGAAATGTTTTGCCTCGCAGCTCTGTCAAGGTGCTGGGACAGAGAGAGAGAGAGATCAGGAGGCAACGTGAGGCAGCCTTCTTCCTCTTCAGCCAGTACACCTAACTTTATCTTCGTCTCTTTTATGAGTTTGTTTCTTAGGTAACAATTTATCTGAAGGAAGGTCCAAATGCTTAGTTTATAAACTATTGGATCATAGGGTATATAAAGGAAATCACTCCAATAAAATAAAAATAAAGCATTCAGATAAATAGGGCATGAAGGCTTATTTCACAAAGTATGTGGGTCAATAAATTAGCTATTGGGGTGAAGATAAAAATCAGTCTAAGCCTTCCCCTAGTCCATACAGGTGAGTTCCTCTTGAATGAAAGAGTTAAATGCAAAAAAGAGATTGAATTTGATTTCTGATTGGAAAGATCTTTGTAAGTTTAAAAGCAGAGGAAGTAATCACAAATAAGATAAAATGATTAGGCTACCCAAATAGATAAAACTTGTATACTTAAAAAAAAAAAAAAAAGCAAAAAAATTTAAAAAGCCAAGATATGCAAAATTGAATGCAAGAGCATTTTCTGTCCATCAGATCAGCAGGGATAAGAACTGCTGACAACCAGAGAGGTGCAGATCCTGCAGGACTATGGACTTTCCTTCACCACTGGGTGGGGTATAAATAGAGGCAAACCTTTAGGTTAGTGGTGGTGTCAGGGGTTAGGGGACATGTGCTTATATACCAGAAAGCAATTATGAAGTTTCAAATTGTTTTAATCCTCTTTTTACTTATAAAAATTCAACATGGTATGGATTTTTAATCTAAAGCATGGATAAAAATTATAAACAAACATTTATTAAAACAGTATTCATAATGGTGAAAAATTGGAAGCATCAGTCCAACATTAAGGTAACCAGTAAGTAATATGTGGTGAATTTGGTACAGTAGATGTTTATGCAGTTTCTAGCACTCTGGTGAAATGCTTATGATGTAATTATGATATACATAATTATTTCAGTTACATTTAAAAAAAGCATTAAAAATGGAATGAGATATGCCCAAATGGTTTTTAAAAAGGATAAAAGGACATTGCCTCTGGGAAACGCAATTATGTGTGAGGTTTTTTTCTTTTTTCCCCAATTTTATGTCAGGTATTTCTTTTATCATCAGTTATAGATAGTCAAATATTAAATATGGAAGAGAGTAACTGAGTGTAAGAATTAAATCCAAGATTGCTTCTTATAAATTGTGTATGTGCATACAGATGCAAACACATGCATACACATGTGTATTTGTATCAACTATTTAACATTTAAAATAAATACTTGAAATAGTACGATATGGAGTTTAAAAGAAAACTCAGAGACAAGGGTTCCCTTTTAAACAGCTGAGAAGTCTGTGCCATAGAACCTGCTCTTTTATTCTTTTCTGATAACTTTATTAGACCTAAAGGATTCTCCAAACATGAAAATACATATATAATATATACATAATAATACATAATACATAATAATACATATATATAGGTAATAGCATATTATACACACACACACACACACACACACACACATATGTATATATATGTAATAGCATTCTCCTGTGGATTAGTAAAAAGTGTGTTTTGGTGGTGGTGGTAGCCAGGCAAAACTGGGATATTTCCTATCTTCTCCAACAGTTTAATGTACGGTATTTTAAGTAATGCAATCCCTTGGAATCACATCAGTTTGCCTATGGAGGCCTGTAATCTGGCCTGATGTTGCATTCTCTGGCCCAGGGATATTCCAACAGGACCTTCCATTTGGGAGCTTTTTGGATGGTAGGATACAGTGGTGAAGTCCTTAGAACATGTTCAGAGCATGTGCACACACACATCAAGTGGCAGTTTTGTGAATCCTTTATTAATTGAAAGCCTATGACAGGTGATAAATACATGTATACATAGGAGAAAGAACGAACAGACTAACAGGTTTTCAGATATACTGACTCGTTTGATGGTTAGGTAAAGAGATCCATCATGGTACAGAGATTCTCAGATGATTTTAGTGCCAATATAAGATAGTAAAAAATTTTGATTCACCAATGTTGACAACCAAAAGTCATATTTATAGAGGAAGTAATAGCCCCTGACAGAATAAATTCCTGTTACCATAGGAACACTGTTCCTCCCATTTGCCTCTTAGAAAGAGATTATATATATATCTGACTTTGAGCTTGGAAGTACCTGCCCACGAGCAAGTCTAAGGCAAAATGTAAAATGCCTCCCCACTACCCCTGGCAGCCCTGCCTTTAAGGCTCTTTAAAAAAAAAAAAATACACACACACACACAAAGAATCATCACTGGTTTGTTTAATTTTTATTTTCTACTTAAAAATTGTTCCTTAAAAAATCAGTTCCACATTCTAAGAACAATACTGCGAAGAACCATAGTGAGTTGGCCTTTGAAACTTGTATTTCTGTTGAACAGTTAAAATGCTGTGTCTCCTAAATGGGGAATGTTTTAGATGTAGCCCCAAAATAGTCCCAAATCCTTTTATCTACTTTGTAAACTTCCACTAATTCGTCAAATCTAGGATCTTCTATCACTTCCTCTGAGAAGCCTACCTTTATCACCACAGGCCCAAGGAACTGTCTCCCCCTTTATGTTTCCATAGACTTACATACATACTCAGTGCTCACCAGATCAAGCAACTAACCGTCATTCCCCAAACACACTCTATGTTCTCACACTACTGTGTCATTGTAATTGCTACCCTCCTCCTTCCTACCACCTTCCACACACTTGGAGAACTCCTACTTATTCCTGAAAACCCAGCTCACATTTTTTCTCTTAAATCTTCCCTGTCCCATATGTAAGTAATCTGGTTTTCAAGCACTTTGTATTTATTTCTATTCCAGTCATAAATGTTGCATTATAATTGTTTCAAAAAATATCTGCTACATGGTGGTGTTTAACAATTCTTTGTTGAATAAGTTTCTCCAAAGAAAGTTTAAAAATGTTGCAGATCTTTGTTGAATTACATTTCTAGGATTAAAAAGAAAACTAATTTGTACATTTCATTAATTTTATTTTAAAAGTTAGATAAACTTTGAATACAGCTTTTCCAGGAAGTATAGGATGTGACACATGCCGTCAAATCAATAATACAGATATTGGACATGAATGTAGAAGGTGTCAGAAATTGTTCCAAATTATTTAATGACAAAGTTGGTTTTGTAGGACTTGGAGAGTGTATTGGACTTAGACAGCATTTAAAAAATAAGAGAAAAACTGGAGAAAGACTAGAAAATTCACCTTGGAAATATAAAAAAGCAGAAATTTAAGAAAAGAAATTCCTAAAGTAGTATAGATTATCATCTGCTGGAACTTGCTATAGGCTCTTGTCCCTATCAGAGTTCTCTGTAAAAATGCTTTTTTGACATCTGCTCCTCAACCCACCTTGCCAAGGCCTGTGAAAGAAATTTTATATTTTTAGTGTTTTTTAAAGCAACTTCTTCACTGTTTGATAAATAAGAGTGGATATGTGTGAAACCAAATATATTAACTCATGTGTTGGTTATTTTAATTATGTTTTTGTTTTGTTGCTGTTTTTTTCTTTTTGTTTTTTGGTGTGTTTTTTTTTTGTCCCTACAGAAAAATCTGTGACCCAGGCCTTACTGCTTTTGAACCTGAAGCTTTGGGTAATTTAGTGGAAGGGATGGACTTTCACCGATTCTACTTTGAAAATGGTACATTTATTCTAAATTTAATAACATGCCTTTTCCAGCTTCTCTTTGAATTTCTCCCAGATTTTCAGTTTTCTTTGCTCTGTTCTGCAATGAGAATTTTCACCTTAGTCCAGCATTTTGCATCATAAAATTTTGTTTTTGAAATTAAAAAAAAAGTATAAAAGTTTTGTTTTGAAAACTAGTTGATTTATAAAAGGTAATGTTGATAAAGGTAATCTACCCCATATAGGTCCCAGTAAATTTATGATATAAGCTGTAAAATGAATCACCAAAAAAGTAACTTTTCATAAAAATCAGTTTATATATGAAAAAATAAAAGACACCATAACATGTCAGAATATTTGACATAAAGGAGTGCTTTCAAGCATATTTAGTGCTCATTTTCAAAGTAAAATGTACGTGAAGATGAGTGATGAGGTAAATATTTCAGTTGCCATTAAAAGAATTTTAGTGGTTGGGGCGCCTGGGTGGCTATCGGTTAAGCAGCTGCCTTCGGCTCAGGTCATGATCCCAGGGCCCTGGGTTCGAGCCCCACATCAGGCTCCCTGCTCCGCGGGAAGCCTGCTTCTCCCTCTCCCACTCCCCCTGCTTGTGTTCCCTCTCTTGCTGTGTCTCTCTCTGTCAAATAAATAAAATATTAAAAAAAAAACTTAAAAAAAACTTTAGTGGTCTCAGAGGAAATAGCCACCCAAAAGAAACCCCTGCAGAAATCCTTGAGGTCATCAAAAAAAAAGTAACCCGGAAATCCTTTTATCCTCTTCCTTACACCTAAAGACTAGGTATTGTGTTTTGTTTGCATGATGCATAGAGTGAATTCACCCTTTTTCAGTGAGATCTTGGTAAATTAAGAAGTGTAGTAATGATTAGGATAATCAAGCTCACTTCCAGTAATTATAAGCATTAACAAGAATGTGTGCCTTGGCATGGATTTTTAAGTTGTGTTTAATGAATTACCTTTTTTATATTCACTGGGCATTTGCAAGCAAACAAAGAATTATGTGGTAAATTGGCCTTAACAAAGCTTCAGTAAATTTTTTCACTGTCTCATAATGTTTCTTTCAGTTGATTCTCCCATTGACACCATCTCATCTCTAGTAAAAGAATAATTAACCCATTAAATATTTAACTTACTTCAAAACAAACTCTATATCACTACTTACCATAAATACATATTCTTCATAATGAGATATTCTTTTGTATATGATTGTGGAACTGAGTAATTTACTCAGATCTTTTTTGAGAATAGGAAGCAGATTTGGACAACAGGTAAAAACAGTTCAGCCTGTTTTAGTGATCTAAAAGAATGACATCATCATTTGCGCTAAATCTTCACATCTCTTGGTCATTGAATAATTAGAATGTGTAGCTATTGTCAAAACACCAAAGGCTGGAGCCTAGGGAGGGCTGCATAATCAAAGAATGAACTAGAGAATCAGAACCAGGCTATATGACCAATAACCAAATTTTGGATTTTTACTGGATGACTACCACTGGACTATCCTGGAATGGACTCTGTGAAGTAAAGGAGTCACAGAATGAGAGGGGGAAACAAATTCATGCTATGGCCGGTTTTTTTGTTGTTGTTCGGAAACCGTTATCTCCATATTTGATACTTGATGTATTTCCCTTGTCCCATGTACTTCACCAGCTAACAAAAACGAACAAGACCACAGGATATCCTGTCACCTGCTCCCTGCACCTGGGCCAGGCCTTCTCCCTCTCTATTTGTATCATGGCTTCTAACCACTTACCATTATAAATAAATACATCTCTTCAGCTTTTCCCCCACCATAGTTTCCAGAGTGACATGTAAATTCTGTATAAAGGGAAACACAGAAAATAATGCATATCTACTTTTGCTCTTTCTCTTTTCCTTTATACTTTGCACAGTGCCAGGGACTCGATTAGTGCAAACAATTCATAGTTGAATGAATGAATAGCATTCCATACATTGGCCCCAGGTGAAGCTATTGGTTTTGGTTTACTTTATGTAAAAACTGAGATCTGTTTTTCATGTTATTCTCTTTCAGCTTTGTCCAAAAGCAATAAACCAATCCACACAATTATCCTGAACCCCCATGTACACCTGGTAGGTGATGATGCTGCCTGCATAGCATACATTAGGCTCACGCAGTACATGGATGGCAGCGGGATGCCAAAGACAATGCAGTCAGAAGAGACTCGTGTGTGGCATCGCCGGGATGGAAAGTGGCAGAATGTTCATTTTCATCGCTCTGGGTCGCCAACAGTACCCATCAAGTAAATATTTCCAGGCTGTCAGCTTCTTTGTTAATATACCCATGGTCAGCGTTTTTTACTTATTCCATTGTTAATAACATGATATATGTTATTTAATGCTAGTGGTTACACTGGTGGGAATGTTCAAGGAAAAACATTGTAACTCTAGAAAGATCAGACCAGCTGTTTGTGAGTTGAAACACACACAGTAGAAACTGGAGGATACCCTTAGCAAGTGGGTTTCTTTTTGTTAAATCATGTAATGAGGCAAACTGTTTGTGACTTCATTGTCACAATTGGCAGAGGAAGGTGAAGAGTTTCTAAAATGGCCAATATAATGTCAGGAACTTTATAGATTATCTATTGGGCTACGTTATAGATATTAGAAGAAATTTATAAACATAACATTTAAAATACAAGTAGCAGGTATCTCAGGGTCTTCCTCCGATGTTATGTCTGCTCTTCCGGTCAGTAATTAGATGAATATTTATTGTATATCCCCGAGGTGCTTAACTTGTACCAGATGAAATACAAGGTAAAAGTTGTATTCTAGTTTAGAAAGCAAGTTACCATGGATACCAAAGAAAAATTATGAGGTTCATAACTTCAGAGTAGAATGGAATGAATGACCAGTGTAGCAAACTGTTAATAACGGTTTGGAAGTATACCTTGTGTAGAAGATATCATTTAAGACCTTGTCCAACATTCCAAGTGGACTTTGGAGACCTGGAGCAAATGGAAGAGAGTCAAGGTATATCAGAAGGATACAACAATGTCAGGATGTTAGTTTCATATGGTAGAGGAGTATGGGTAAGGAAGGCTGGCTCCAACTGGAGCAAAGGGGAATATTAATGGGAAATAAGGTTGTTCAGTGAAGGGATGAGATGAAAACAAGAAGGGGAGTTTAGACTCAGAAGTTTGGCCCACCGCTGATCTCATTCCAAATTCTCTCACCAGGATCACCTGTAATATTAGGGGAGTAGGATGGGGGAGTAAATTTATACAAACAGCCATTCAACTCCAGAGAATCTATCAAAATTTCTTAGTTTAATAATGTACCACAGTGGTTTTCAGAGGCCTTCTCTATAGCCTTAATAATTATGTATCACTGTTGGATTTATAAAAAGTAGATGAAGGAAAAAAAGCTAGCTATTATTTTTAGAATGAATTTCAGCCTATTAAGAGAATGACAAAAGGAATAATGAAGATACCCATGTTTGTTTGTTTGTTTTTTTTACCCCAAAGAGGTACAGCACTAATTGCCAGTTAATATGGAAGGGGTTATATTCATACAGTACTATAGGGTTAGGATTTTCTACAATTCCCTGAAGTATTTATGGGATAGAGCCTATTTAAGAAAACTTCATTTTATGCCAGGTGGCTTAAATGGGGCTTCTCTTAATAGGCCATCCTGTATTCCAAATGGGAAAGAAAACTTCTCAGGAAGCACCTCTTTGTGGCAAAACATCTAAGGCCTGAAAACCATTCACATATGGGTCTTGTAAGTAAAATCCTGCTCCGTGATACTTTGTGAATGGAGCTAATGACTAAAAAGCTGCATGGCTGTTTTTCTTCCCTTTAAGGATATTATCTTTTGCATTATATTCGATGGAAAATATAAAAGGTCTTCGAAAACTTATAGCATTTTTGCATGAGCTCTTGAGTCTAATGTTTGGCCTCATTTTGTAGCATAACCCTTGTTTTAAAGGTAATAAGTGCTGAGAAGAGCCTCCCTTCAGCATATGGATCTTGGCATTTTAAGATATCCTGGAGTTCCTACATCGAAAGTCCAGTCTGGGTCAATTCAGACAACTCTCAATTATCCAGACCTAATTTAAATCAAGCTCTAGGATTTTTTGGTGTCTGTTTTTCTAGAGGTAGTAATTTGTGTTACACACTTGGCTAAGGTTAATATATAAATTAATTTGCTTTGCCTCACTGAGTATAATGGTATTTGACCATGAGGATAGGCCACAAGTGGAAGTCAAGCTGAAATTTAAAACTTACATAGTGGGTAATTCCAGAGGATAATTGAAAGTTGACTGTAATTCACGCCTGTGTTTTTTAAGATTTGTTTCTTAACTTGGATTAGGATTCAGATATGTGTGCTAATGTTGTGAATATCTCCTCCACTCAAAGCACTGAACCTTGTCAGAGCTTTTAAGAAATAGTGCTCCCTGCTGTTGAATTAAAAAAAAAAGAGACCTCCAATTAATATGTTTTCCCTACTTTTGAGGCTATATTCCTCATTAAATGGACTTCTAGGTTTAACTTCCCAAGGAGTCTAAGAATAATGACAAAAGCTAAGAATGCACTTAAACTTTTCATCTCTTCCAACAAAATTATATCTGTTAGTAAACATGAATGCTTACAATGCATAATTAAGTTCAATAATGTGATTGAAGCCTGGGTTCCTGTTTCTATTTTCAGCTTAGCTCTGTGTGGACAAGTTGGCCGATAATTAATAGTTTCCTATTTAATATTGTCTCTGTTTAACATTGTGTATTTCATCTTTTAATGATCACAAGCAAAGATCTTTTATACAACTGTATTTTCGATCTATTAATTTAGCTGAGTTATAAAACTGTAGCCTAGTCACATCTTTGGCAAAACAATTTTGTAGAACAGTATAACTTATTTCTCACTCCCCCCCTTTCTTTCAGCTAAATATCAACAGTGCCACCTCTGCATTCTTGTTCTCAAGGCACCTGGATGGTAACCCTGGGCTGTCCTCTCCTCCTCTTCATGCATGTTTCTGAGTGCATGAAGTTGTGAAGGTCCTACATGTAATGCATATGTGATGCACCATCTTGTCATATATTCCTTCCTATACATTGTTTACACTTCAACTATGGGGATGTTCCATGCAAAATTCAATTACTGTTGGCAAACAATAGGGGGAGGTCAGACAAAAAAAATTCCACAATATTCCAAGTACAACCTATTCATCAAGTTTGTTTATGCCAAGATATAAGAGACTTCAAAATTATTCTCTGAATGACAGTTTGTAAGAGAAACATACATTTTTAAAACTCTTTGCTGTTAATCAGTTTTGGCTTGTTTAACAAAAAGCAAATATATATATATATATATATATATACACACACACACACATATATACCTTCAGTTTCCTGGTGTGATCCTGGTTGAAATTGCTAACAATTAAAGTAGGTTGGTATGTGGCCAGAATCACTCATGAATGTGGGAGCGAGAATCAGTTGGTTTGCTGCCCTCTAAAGTCATGTTGTTTGGGGTCAAACTGTAAACTGGAAAAATTCACATAATTTAAGAGTGATCACTTTAAGATATATTCACACTTCTGGTGAATTCACTGAGTTTTGTGTTCCTTTCTCAAATATGTGCTCTCTTTTCCCCATTCTCTTCTGTCTTTTCTCACACACTACGAGACAAAGTGAAATTTGCATAATGGAGGTAAATAAACTAGCACTTTTGATCATCTTCAGGACCCACAAAAATGTTAAGATTGTAAAGGTTTCTAATTAATTCTGCTTCGGCTCCACTTTGGACATAGGGATCCTAGGTCAGCAGTATTAGAATTGTTTAAATTTCGGGTAAAAGCAGTGAGGTTCCTGGTGTCCCACGGACTGGCAAGGAGAATACCAGGTTGTAGTGGATCAGGATTTCGTGCACATGCTCTTAGTTCTCCCTAGTGCATGGGGCCCCTCCTGCTCCACCACCACTGGCTGGTTTTCTAAAGTCAGAGAGGCCTGCAAGTGATTTCCATTCTCATAAGTGTTTAGAACTTGAGCTCTGTGGCTTGTGCTCTTAGCTTCTCTCTTGTGTCAGTAACATTATCTCCCTGTGAGGAGTTAGGATTTTCCAGTTTAAAAAGAAAAGGGAAATGCCCAGATTTTCTTTCTTTGTGCTTCTCATTTCTCCTTTGTTTATTCAGCTCCTGTAAGGCTGTTTCTCTTCCCTGAAATGCTATAAAGTGCATGGTATCTTCATCAGCGTTATTTTAACAATAGTAATTCACAATCTTCAGACACCTATTTTTAAAGCAGAAGCAAAAAATCTAAACAACCCTCCTTCTTTCTCTCATTTCACCTTTCTGTGTTGATGACTAATCACCTTAGATATTGTTGCTAGTGGATGTATGGTAGATGGATTGAAGCTTTTCTGATAATTACACGATTTAAAAAATATATATTTAAAATAAATATATACAGTAAATGTATTGAGCCATGTTAACCTGCCAATGAGATCTGTGAAAAAGTAATGGCCTCGTTTTTCCCTTTTTGATTTCTTTTACCTTTTTGTGAACTGGCTATACGTGGCATACATGTATTTTAAAAAATAATAGGTATAGAGTGGGGTTTTTTTTCACACTTTTAACTTAGCATGTGGTGTTGAAGTATTACCGTAGATCAAGTTTGTCTTCCGCACTAAGATGTGAGGAAATTGTGATTTGTTCTCTCCACCACAACTGAATTACACAATTACTATCTTCTATAATTTTGAAACACTGCAGTTTACCATGGGACACTGTATATATTTCTTGCCATAATGGTAAATGACTGATTGATATATTTAAGAGTTAATAAATTTGTGATTTCTGCTGACAATGTGTCCATCTTTATTTCTTGAGGTACTATATGCATGCATGTTGCTGGCCAGTGCCAACAGCAATGTGTCCTGCTCTGGTCTCATTAGTTCATAACAATTTACCTTTGATGTAAAGATGAAGTTTTTGAACTATGCTTCCTTTTAAGAATATACTTGGTAATAATAGCAATTTACTATATGTACAAAATAACAGACTCTGCTAGGAAAATTTTTCTGAGAACAAAGTAGTTAAAAACAAGAGTCCTAAAATTTCTAAATATGTCCTCCAATCCATCCTTCAATGGCTGTTGGGGCACTCCTTTTTTAACCCAAATCTGACTGTATAACAAACACTTCAATGTTATCTTCAGCATACAGGCAAGCACCTCGTCTCCTGCCCCTCCCCAACTTGAATGCACAGAAGTACATCTTTCGATTTACTGCAAACATCACACATCTATTTATGCTGCTTCTCACCTAGGATATTCTTACTCATTCCTAAAAATCCAATTTAGAGTATCATCCACTTGATTAAACTTTCCCGGACCCTGCTCTAAGGTTGTTGATCCTCTCAATATTGTGTAGTTTGAGTCTAATTCTCCTGCCAGCCATGCAGTTTTGAAAATACATCATCTTTGTGTCTCCTCTACTGGAGTATAATGTCTTGAGAGACAACTGTGTATCCATCTTTATATCTCTAAACTCAAAGAGGGCCAGGAAGGGAGAAGCTGTTAATAGTTTTGAACTGTTGGCCAAACCATAAATGGGAACCTCAAGATGCAATCAGACACTCCTGGGTTTAATGTTTGGCTCCGTCGCTATTGTCTTTGACACACTGAGCATGTCGCGTCTTCTTCCCTCTGAACGTTAGTTTCTGTATTTGTAAAATGAGATCAAACATACCAATCTACTAGGGGTATTATGATGAGTAGAGATGATGGGTACAAAGTACCTAGAGTAATATTTGGTAGATAATATTAAATGGTAGCTGCTATAACTGTTATAATCATTGATATTAATACTCCCATTGTTCTTACTATTCCTTACTCAGGGGAGTAGAACACTCTTGGTTTATGGGGTGCTTTCTTTCTGTAGGTTTACTGATATTCCTGAGGATATATTCATATCAAATGTCTCAGCAGAAAAAGGAGAAATACTGAATAAGATAGTCATCTAGCCGAAAGCAGGCAAAATGACATGAAGTCAATATATTCTAGGAAAACTCTCAAGGAATCTTACTCTTAAGTAACTGAAATTCTGAATCCCTGTATAAATAAAGTGATCCTATATAATGTAAGGGTAAACATAGATGGCTCAACACTTGAGTGATTTCATTAAATAAAATTCTGCTATCTACAGTTCTTTCACTGTTTTCATGGTATCTTTTGTCAGATTTTAAGAAGTGAGAGTATATAAAAAGATTATAATGAACATCAGCATATTAGACCACATATCCTTAGTCTGAACACTAAGCCGTGACAAGCCACCTCGGCTGAGACAGCAGCATGAAGCCTCCACAGTATTCCTACTTTTCTATCTAACAAAACCAATTCTTGAAAGTAGGCTGAAATGTTCTCCACTAGACTGTAGTAGGAAAAATTGATGAAATTAAGTATTAATATTACCCCAGAAGGATTTATATTTTTAAAGGCTTTTACTGCTTTACAACACAAGTCAACATTTTTCTGGTTTGCCCATAAAAATGTTTTTATAGCTTTTGGAAAAAATGGCGGCAACCCTTGAGAATCGGAGATTCCATGTAGAAGTCATGATTTCTGGGTTTGAAAAATTGTAAGATTTTGGGGCGCCTGGGTGACTCAGTCAGTTAAGCGGCTGCCTTTGGCTCAGATCATGATCTCGGCGGAGAGTCTGCTTCTCCCTCTCCCTCTCCGTCTGCCTACTTGTGCTCTCGTTCTCTCTGTCAAATAAATAAAATCTTAAAAAAAAAAGGGAGAAAAATTGTCAAGTAAATAAAGAAAAATTGTAAGATTTTGCCACACTGGTCCTGTGTTCACCCATGATAACAGAAAAAAGCTGATGCCTTTTAGAGGAGACCAAGTGCCCTGCCTGTCGCCACCCCCAGATGCCCCACTCCTGCGTCTCCTGCAGACAGCGGGGGTTAGGCCCTTTCTTCACGTCGGGGAGCACCTCTGTTGGCACCTCAGTCTTCAGCAGAGGCACGAGCATTTGGTTTGGATGGAGTGGTCCCAGTCTCCCTAAATCATACTACTTAGGCAGCTGTCTTCCTGGTAGGTCTCTCCAGCTCAAGTACCCAGAATTATTTTGACTTCATTTTAAATGAGAAAATTGGGATCCACAAAAACAAACCCAAAGCACACAATTTTTCCAAGGTGCTATTTGATGGATTAAAGGAAGAGCAGCGCTTATTTTCATGTAAAATGAATTATCCTATTCTCAAAGTCCTGAATGGCCAAGAACCGTCAGGTGATTTTTACCGCCAGGTTTACGTGGGCAGTGCAGGAGAACTGAACTATTTATATAAATCCTAGCAGTGTTCTCTCTCTAACTAGATGTTTAGAAACTGCTTTGGGGCTCAGGGGTGGCAATTTACCATAAGGCGAAAAGGCCTGACTCAGATACTAACACATAATGTAGTCTGAACTTTAGGAACTCCCTTGCTTCTTTCTTGCTCCCCTGGAACCCCACAACCGTGGTGACACCCACCCGTCTGTGTGGGCCATGCTCATACTCCCGGGGCTGAATGTGGCTGAAGCCAAGCCCCCAACTCTGCTGACAGGTGTTTACATTCATGGCCGTTCACACCCCTCACAGATCCTTGGGGCTGCCCAGGAATCCTATTTCCCTAGTCCATTTTCTCCCACTCTTCCCACCAACTAGGTCAGACTTTCCTTTCTGTCTTCTACGTCTAACCCATCCTTCCCCATCGTCCCGCAGGGGGAGGACCCTGCTTCCAATTTCACTGCAAGAGATGAAGCAATCTCAGCATCTCTTTCTACGCACCCTGCCTTCTCTCCAGTTCCTGGGGACAAAAAGCTCACGCACCTGCCAAAGGCCAACACCCATCCCGTAGCACCCACTCGTAGATATCGCTCTAGCAACTCTCCCAACTTACCATCATTATAAATCATTTCCTCCTTACTAGTGATCCCCACCAATGCCTGCTTCTTTGCTTTGTAGACTCCTTTAAAGGGCTGCCTGTAATTGCTGTTGGCAGTTTCTCCCCTCCCATTGCTCTTAAACCCACTCCTGTTGCCTTGACTGCTTCATCAGTTTTTCTGTCTTCAGTGACCACCCTGTTAATTCCAAGGATCAACTTTCAGTCCTCGTTTTACTTGATCTCTCAAGTTGTTTACTGTCTCAGTCTTGAAATACATTTTTTCTTGTCTTTCAGACAATACACTTGCCTGATTTTCTTCCTATCATTCCAGATGCCCCTTTCTAATCTCCAGCTGCTCTCTTTTCATCAACTTGACTTTTAATTTTGGAAATTTTTTTTTTCTTCACTTGCTCCCAGG